TTTTTTTTTTTTTTTTTTTACTTTTACTCAAATTGCTAGTGAATTTCACAAATAATAAAGATATGAAAAATGAAATTTTTGAAGAAGAAAGACTGAAGTAGTATTTTCTGGTAAATTTTCTTGCACTCCACTAATCTGTTTCATTCACAAATGTAAAAAAAAATTATAAATTTCTTACAGTGCAACAAAATGGAAAGTCATAAAAAAGAAAGCAATTACTGCATTTTGATAAAAGCACATTTTTCTTTATAATAACGTGAACTCATGAATTGCTCACAATAAAACCAGAAATATGCATGACCAGAGTTGGTTTTGATTTCATGTTTATATAGAAATGTATATTATAATATAACACAACCCACCCAGAGACACCTCCACTGGAGTGTGACAACATGCCCCGGTCTGTCCTACTAGACGACCCTGAGACGCAGTAAAAGCAGTGATTGTCAGTGACTGAAAGGAAGCTACAGACCTTGCTCATCTTTGACGGCCCACACCATGAGGTCCACACAGGCTGCGTTGGCATGACAACGGAGCTTGAGAGGACTGGGTTCCCCTGGCAACCGTTCCTCACGGAGAACCTTCTGGATCTCTGATTGGCTGCTGCTGAACTGCTCCAGAACGAAGTCATGCACCTCTTTAACGAAGCTCGTCTGCACATCTGACCAGAGATCCACATGAAACATTCACATACGGCAAAGGTCAAAGGCATTAACAAACACTACACAAACATTAAAGGTGTGATTAATAAACCATTTGAGCTAAATAACGGCTAGATTTCAGCAACCTTTCATGTAATAGAGCGTGTCTCGCAGCATCTTGAACATGCTGACGTACAGCGGGTCGCTGAAGGTTTTGTAAAAGAGATCGATGCCTGGATTTGCCTTCATTAACAGAGAAAAAAGGAAGGGCGAATCAGGAAGAGCTAAACAAGCAAACAGGCTTAAGCATCTGGTTTGTGACAATTCAATATTAATGCTGATATAAATCCTAGTAAATGAAACGTGTGGCTTCACCTCTGTAACCTCAGACACGACAGCGTCCAGAGTCTTGAGGAATGAATCAGAGACAAAATGCTTCACCTGCAGAAACAACAGTGAGATATTAACAGGGTGATGAATCAATATTTGGAGATTTTAGCGATCATAATCGGCCAACGACACTTGGTTGATTAACAGAAGTGTCAGTTTCTCTACAATGAAATACGCAACCCTGCATCTTGAAAAAAAAAGTTCTGCTGATTTACAAAAAAAAAAAAAGCTTAATATTATATAATTTTACAAAACAAATATTAAGATTTACTTTAAAAAATAAAAAAATTGTTTTTGCATGTTTTCAATCATTTTTGTTTACTTATTTCTTACTTAAGAATTATTTAAATACATACAAAAAATATGCAAAAAATATTTGTAAGTATTTTTCCAATAATAATTTATTTTTATACAAAATAAAAGCAGTCAAATAGCAAAAGTTTCATGACAAAAAGACAACATTTCTGCTAATGACAAAAAGTAGTACTTAAAATGTATTATTTAACTTATAATCTGCAAAGGAGTGGGAATAGTGGAAATTAATCAAACCAGTTTGTGAAATGTGCTGAGAACTGAACAAATAGTTGTAATCTGGCTCAGAGGAAGACAGAAATCATGTCTTTGTGGTGTTTTTCTGCTGATTACGGAATAATACAAGACTTTTTCATCTTACAAATCTTATCAAAAGCAAAAATGCTACAAAATAAATCATATTTTGTAAAAACATGACGTGACAAACAGGCACTATTTTTGGAATCAGCACCTCAACATGTGTAAGAAACAAGTTTTGGATTTCATTTAGCAAAATATGATGCAGTGCGTGTTACAAATCATTTTTGGTGAGTAAATATTAAATTAAATAAGCATTAATTTTCACTATTATTTGAGAAATTTACTAGCAATTTCTGAGTGGAAAAAAGTAAAAAAAAAATTTTTTTTTAAATTCAGTGTGGTTAATGTCAAACAAAAGCAGTGTTATTGTAAACAAAGTATTTAAAAAAATTTCATTAATTAAAGCTCAAATAAAATACCTAAACTTAAAGGAAAATTAGAAATATCACCTTGGCTGAAACTGAAATAAAAGTTGATGTACTAAAACTTCTCAAACTAAAATAACAATAAATTTAGGTTAAACAGAAATATAAAAATATTTATATTTATAACAAATGACCAAACTGCATCAGGTATATATGGTTATTAAATTAGCCGTCAGCTGTTCTACTCTATAAATATAAGTGCAGACATTATTTTAAAAACCCATATTTATATAAAAGGCCAATATTGACATGCACGCTTCAGTATTTTCTGCCAAACGCCGCGAGGAGCTCAGTAAGCGTGTGTGTACCATCTGTAAGAGACGCCTCAGCAGCTCTAAAGGGACGCTTATTTCTTGTCCGCTGGCTCCAGTGAAGAGAGGAGAGATGGAGAAACTGGAGCTGACCGTCGTGAAGTAATAATCTGGATTCACCACACTGCCCTCCGCCAGACACGAACCTGACAAAACACCATCAGATCACATCTACAAACACTCATGGTGTAATGCTGCAGTGGGTGACGATGCAGTAACACGAACACTAGTACAAAAATGCCTTCTAAATAAATAAACATAATTCAGCAGTGACTGATTTGAACGGAATTAAAAGGGGCTTACTGAGAAACGAGTGCATGAACCCTGAGCTCTGAATCTGCTGAAGAATGTTGAGACGCTAAAAGCGCTTGTTCAGAGATTAGAGTCGTGACACAGCGATTACCTTCAAAATACTGCGGTCCTGGAGCTGTGGGAGAGCAGGGCGACGGTCCACCTCTGTCCGGACTCACCTGTGAACATAACCCAGGTCTACTCTATCAGTAGATACTACCATCCCATACTACTCATGCTATTTCTGCAATACACACTGTATCCTCTTCACACACTGTGAATCTTTCATATGCAAAGAATACCAGGATGACCCACTACTTTGTTTGCCAAAATGTACAGTATACAGTCAATACTACATCCCACAATGCAATGTGCAAAACTTGACATTTTCCAGTTTGATGAATGAATTGAGTGTTTTTAGCAATGATTTTGAAAAATATTTTTAGATCAGACCGCCATGGGGATAAGACATTAAAACATTTTTTCACTTTTTTACCCCTAAATATTTGTATTTTTTCATATTTTTTAAAATTATTTCATATTAATTTATTTGTATGTACTTTTTAAAACATTCAATAATTATTTTTGCATATTTTTTTTAATAATTTATTTTTATTTACTTCTTTCTTAATTTTTGTAATGTTATTCAATCATTTATTTTTATTTACTTTTTTCTAAAACTACTTTTGCACATTTTCTCAAAAAAAAAAAATGTATTTACTTAATCAAAAATTATTTTTGTATATTTATTTTTATATTTTTTAATAATTTATTTGTATTTACATATTTCATTTCTTTAAAATATTTTGCATTTGTCAGTGATAATCTTTGTATTTACTTATTTTTTTCAAAAAATATTTTTGCATATTTTTTCAATAATAATTTACTTTATTTACATATACTTCCCCTAAAATTAATTTAGCATATTTTGTTTGATAATTATTTTTATTTACTTCTTTCTTAATTTTTGTAATGTTATTCAATCATTTATTTTTATTTACTTTTTTCTAAAACTACTTTTGCACATTTTCTCAAAAAAAAAAATGTATTTACTTAATCAAAAATTATTTTTGTATATTTTTCAATAATAATTTATTTGTATTTACATATTTCATTTCTTTAAAATATTTTGCATTTGTCAGTGATAATCTTTGTATTTACTTATTTTTTTCAAAAAATATTTTTGCATATTTTTTCAATAATAATTTACTTTATTTACATATACTTCCCCTAAAATTAATTTAGCATATTTTGTTTGATAATTTATTTTTATTTATTTAAAAACGTCAAACATTATTTTTGCACATTCTTTCAATAATTTTTTTTTTTTTGCATTTTTTCCCAATAGTTTTTTTAAATGTATTTACTTAAAAAAAGTTTTTTTTCTGCACATGTATTTCAATAAATTACATTTTTTACTGAGATATTACCCAGATGCTACTCGCAGAATTAAACCATGCAAAGTGCCCTGTGACAGTGTGTAACATACATGTTGTTTGAAACGTTTATCATTGCATAATGCATACTTTTACACTGATTATGTTTTAAAAAAAAGCAACAGGCAATATAACCGTATACAAGTGTAGTGTTGACCTGTGCGTCAGGGTTAGCGATGCCGCTCTTGCGTCTCAGCGTGTCTCCCTGACAGGCCGTGAGCAGTGAACTGGGTAAAATAGAGCGGAAGTCATTGAAGGATCTCCTCCGAACGCCCTCGGTCTCCACAGACACACGCTGAGCCGGCTGCGGCGCTCCTCGCGGAAACAGCCGAGAGAGGAGGGGCTCGCCGCCGTTACCATAGCGACCAAACGCTCGGGCCACGCCCAGAAGACACGGAACAGCATACCTGCACAGGTAGACTGACGAGACAGGAAGTGAGTCAGGAGAGTGAGAGTGAATCTAAATGTGTGTTTGAGACGTGCAGCAGAGCTCAGATCACCTTTATCATGGTTCTCGGGCGTCTGGCAGATCTCCAGCAGAGACTGCATCACTTCCATCACAGCATCCAGAATCTGGACAGAAAGACGGTAAATGAGTGCAAAGGAAAAGGTAAGCTGGAAATGTAAAGATGCACTGAAGATCTGACCTGTGAGTGAGACTCGGGGTCTCTCTGAGCGACGTCAGACAGGAGCGTCACCAGACAGAAGCTGAAGTTTTCCGCCATGGGGAGAGTCTCTGTGAGCATATAAAATACAAACTTCATTTTTAAGTGTCTATGCACTTAAACTATACAAGGTTCTGATGGCATACAAAAATACAGAAGATATATACCACCATTCAAAGGTTTGGGGATTGCACAATTTTTTTTAAATGTTTTTGAAAAAAGTCTCTTATGCTCACCAATGGTTTCATTTTTTGCATATTTTATTTCAATAAGAATTTATTTTTTATTTACTTTAGAAAATGTCAAAAAAAGAAATATTTTTTTCAATAGTATTTTTTTGTATTTAATGTTTTTTTCTAAAATTATTTCTGGACAGAAGCTGAAGTTTTCCGCCATGGGGAGAGTCTCTGTGAGCATATAAAATACAAACTTCATTTTTAAGCGTCTATGCACTTAAACTATACAAGGCTCTGATGGCATACAAAAATACAGAAGATATATACCACCATTCAAAGGTTTGGGGATTGCACAATTTTTTTTAAATGTTTTTGAAAAAAGTCTCTTATGCTCACCAATGGTTTCATTTTTTGCATATTTTATTTCAATAAGAATTTATTTTTTATTTACTTTAGAAAATGTCAAAAAAAGAAATATTTTTTTCAATAGTATTTTTTTGTATTTAATGTTTTTTTCTAAAATTATTTCTGCATTTTTTTCAATAATCAATTAATTTATTTAGTTATATTTTGTTCTACAATATTTTTTTATAATAAACACAAATATATATGAATTTTTTTCAATAGTTTTGTTTGAAATGTTTAGCATCGCATAATGCATAATTCTACACTTACTATATTTTTCAAAGTAATAAGCAATATACTGTGCAGTATATTTAGTAAATGTATTAATTCTTTAAAATCTTACTGACTCCAAACTTTTAAACAGTAATGTACATGCTTGCATACATAGTGCATAGTAATGTTCTTGATGAAGAAAGAGGAATAAATTATTACCTTTACACTTCCTCCAAGCATTCTCCTCCACCCACTGCACTCTGGGTAATCCCTTGAGCAGACTCAACAGGTAACTTACCACAGTGTCTTTGTGCTGAAAAAGACACGTATCATACATGAACCATGTGTTGCAGAAGTGAAAACTTTATAATGACAGACTAGATCAGAATATACTTGCAAATCAAATCCCAAATCTATTTATATAAAAATCAGATGCTTCAAAAAAAGAAAACCAAAATTACACTGCATACATTGTTTGTGCAGAGAAATTATGCAGCCTACAAGAAACAAAACAACCCTTTGGCAAGTGAGAAAAATAAAGAGTACAAGCTGAACTCTGTGTGTGTGTGTGTGTGTGTGTGTGTGTGTGTGTGTGTTTAAAGTGGCTTAAAGGAATAGTTCACAAAAAAATTCATTTTCTCTGAAAATATGCTCACCCTCAGTTTATTCAAGATTAGGATGAGTTTGCTTCTTCATCAGGTTTGTAGAAATGCAGCATTGCATCAGTGTCTCAGCAATGGATGCTCTGCAGTGAATGGGTGCCGTCAGAATGAGAGTCCAAACAGCTGATAAAAACATCACAATAATCCACAAGTAATCCACACCACTCCAGTCCATCAGTTAACATCTGGAGAAGACAAAAGCTGAAACAAATCCATCAAGACATATCATATCCTGCTAAAATATGAGTCCATAATCCATAACACATCCTTCAGTGAAAAAGTCAGTCTCCTGTCGTCTCTCACACCAAAATCTAGTCACATATTTGTTTAGAGCTGTTTTGGCTTGTAAACAGTGCTTGATCTGTGCAGATTTCTCTCCTGATTCAGACGACATTTTCACTGGAGGAAGCGTTATTATGGATTATGGACTCATATTTAAGCAATGGTTTGAAGTTAAAACATCTTAAAGACAGATTTGTTTCTCACAAACACGCAGCTTTAGGCTTCTCCTAATCTTGGACGGCCTGAGGGTGAGCACATTTTCAGCAAATATTCAGTTTTGGCTGAACTATTCCTTTAACCAGTCACAGCTCTAATCCAGCTGTGATCACATTATCTGCTTTAGCAGTGATTTTCTCTCATAAACCAGCTCAGCAGCTGGAAAGCTTCAACACACACTTGGCCATTCGAGGATATTCCCAAAGGGAGGTTTTGTCATATTTAGCTAACATCCGGGGACAATTTTGTCCCCAAAATAGCACACACACAAAAACACAACTGCACTCGTGAACTACACTCATGCTAATAATCAACCTCAGTCACCTGTAAATCAGACTCGACCAGGAACACGGCCAGTGCGATGACGGCATCCCTGCGGCGGACATCCAGAGTGAAGACGCCGCGGCTGTCGCATGGACACATGCATAATAACTTCTGCACCTGATGAAAGAGACACGCTTTGAATCTACTTTTCTATTCCTATCAGTTGACATGAGCTCAAGTTAAACAACTTCTCTCTCAGAGGATTTAAGCAAACTGATCTATCTGGCATCTGCAGAACTAGAACAACCTGTTAAGAGATTCACGCATGCTTTGAGAGCATGCACGTGTGGGGAAATCAGCTGCTCATAATACAACAACATGAAGATGTCTGCTGCAGTGCGCAAATGCATGAGAATGCAAACACAAGATGAATCGGTCATGCAGGCGTCTGCAATGTGGCAATGCATTTCACAAGAGCGCAAAAGGAAGTCTATACACCTGCTGCTGTTGCTTTAATACTATAACGGAGTCAGAGCAAATGTGTAGAAAAGAAAGAAAAGCTTTCATCGGTGCTTCGGGCTCAAGCTGGCACCATTTAGCGCCTGTAAAAGCCTCTGGACATGTGACAGCTCTGAACTGCTGCATCTGTTTTACCTTTAATAGACCATACTAAAATAACTAAAGCTTAAAATTAACAAAAAAAAATGTATATAACAATTAATAAAATTAAAATGTATAAAAACTATATAGACATAAAGAACTAATAAAAATGACAAAAATGCACAACAAAATTACTATTGAATTTTACATTTACACTTCAATTTTAAAATTAAAAAAAGAACTCAAAATATTAAACAAAACTATAATAGTATCTCAATTATACTAAAATAAAACTGCATAAAAAATCTGGGGTCAAAAAAGATTTACTTAATTCAAAGGGAAAACAAGACTGTTTTTCTCAGCCCATTGGCAAATATTTTAAATCAAAAACTCACTGTCTGTTGTGTTGTGTTGTGTGTGTGTTGTGTTGTGTTGTACCTTCTCGACGGGCGCCGGGCGGTGCGCTGCCAGAGAACGCGCGAGCGACAGAACCGTGTTGAAATAGAACTCTCGCGTCCCGCCTCGCGACACCATGATCCACGAGAAAAGCTGCACACACACAAACGACGATGATTCCCGCAGCAGCCCGCGCTGAAGAAAAACACCACCGCAATACGGAGAGTGTGAAGGCACAAATAACAGCCGATGGAGAGGCGTGTCTCCATTAAAGCATCATCACTATACAGTTTATCTTATTGGCTCGTACAGCTGATGAATATCTACACACCACTAATGGAGAGGGGTTTATAAACGCGTTGTGTAGTTCATTAAAAAGAAAAAGCAATGAAGAAATAGCCTTGACAGCTTTATGAATACTGAGAGAGAAACCTGAACAAACTTCACAATCTCTAATAGAGTATTGACTAAAATATATTTATATTTTATTGCGATTTTTGTATTTCTGTAATATTCCTGTATTATATATATATATAAATATGTATAATGTTAATTTATGAAAGAATGATTAATAACGATAACAGCATCATCATAATTAAATAAACAATATTAATAATTAATATTTATTAGTAGTCAGATAGTATGTATATCAATAATTATTTATAAAAAATTGTATGCATTATTATTGTTGTCATTATGAATTAACAATATTAATAATTAATAATAATAATTATTAATATTATTAGCGGAAGTAATATATTAATATGTATTATATATTAATAATTATTATTTCTAATTTTTGTAGTAGTATTTCTGTAATATTAATATTTATAAATAAATATGTATAATGTTAATTAATGAAAGAATGGTTCATAACAATAACAGCATAATAATAATATAATAATAATAATAAATGTATTGTTATTATGTAACAATATTAACAATTCATAATAATAATTAGTAGTATAGTAGTAGCAGTAGAAGTAATGTATTATGTATTAATAATAACAATATTAATACATAATAATAATTATTAGTAGTAGTAGTAATAGTAGAAGTTATATAATAATAATAATAATAATAATAATAACAATATTAATACATAATAATAGTAGTAGTAGTAATAGTAGTAGAAGTTATATATAATAATATAAATAATAATAACAGCAATATTAATACATAATAATAATTAGTAGTAGTAGTAGTAATAGTAGTAGAAGTTATATAATAATAATAATAATAACAATATTAATACATAATAATAGTAGTAGTAGTAGTAATAATAGTAGAAGTTATATATAATAATATAAATAATAATAACAACAATATTAATACATAATAATAATTAGTAGTAGTAGTAGTAGTAGTAGTAGTAGTAGTAGTAGTAGAAGTTATATATAATAATAATAATAATAATAATAATAATAATAGGCTAATAAATAATTTTGGAACTGGAATAACTTGCGAACATTTGTTGTAATTAAGTTTATGAAGTGTATATTGTAGCTCTAGTTATCTTTATTTTCAAATCCTAGCAATAGATTTCAGATCCTAAACGTCAAAACAAAGCGTCACAAATAAAAACAACAAAAAGTGAACGTGGGGCGGAAACCAAGGCCTTTCTTTATTTCATTTTTATTTATTTATAAATACATGTATACATTTTTTATATATTTTTATCTGTACACCCTTGGCACTTTTTATATATTTTTGTTGTTTAAGCATCAATAATAATAATAAAAATAAAAAAAATCTGACCACAACAAACACAGAGAAACGTCTGTACCCACGAAATATCCAAATAATAAACACGATTACAATAAAAAAATAAAAAAACGTGGGCCGGAAACAGGAGCGTCAGAGGTGGAGCCTATCTGACGTCACAACGACACCACCGGAAGTAGAAGCGTCAGCTGACAGCAGGAGAAACACATCAGCCTCCAGCGATCAAAGGTACGCGTTTATCGATAAAATGTTCAATATTTCGTATTTTTAATCAAACAGACAGAGCGAAACTGTTCTTAAAGATGATGTAGGTTTTATTTAAAGGCTGTTTTTAGGCAGCATACGGCGCCGAAAACAAACAAGTTTCTAGCGTATTCAGTTTCAATGTAGTTTAATAATAAAGAGAATTATGAAATGTTTGCACATTTTAATACGTTTAGTCTATACCTATATATGTTTGCCGATGATTATCTGTCAATCATAGTAGTTTGTTGACAGATATTATGCATGTATCCAGATAAAGTACCATATTTTTACCACTATTTTAGACTTTTACCATGGTATAGCGTTAGCAGCACTTTATCTCTTCGTTATCACTTTTACTTTTTATTTTTACTTACGTTTTGATCAAACTCATGTCCTGTCTTATTTAATCCTTATGATGTTTTAGGTCATCGCTATATAATAATATATATATATATATATATATATATATATAAGTACGTACACAATTTCAGATGGAAAACGAGTTTTCATTCCTCAGATATTCGGTCTTAACTATAAACTAAATTTTGTTCAATTTCTCAGAAAACAAGACTTAATATCTTCATTTTGCATCTCAAGTAATAATGTTTTAGGTCATCATCACTATATATATATATATATATATATATATACTGCTGTTCAAAAGTTTGGGATCAGTAAGATAAAAAAACAGTTATATTGTAAAATATTATCATTTAAAATATGGTTTTCTATGTGAATATCTGTTAAACTGTAATTTATTTCTGTGATCAAAGCTGTATTTTCAGCATCATTACTCCAGTCTTCAGTGTCACATGATCTTCAGAAATCAGTATAATATACTGATTTAATATCAGTGCTGGAAACAGTTTTGCTGCTTAATTTGTTTTTGTTTTTTTGGAACCTGTGATACTTTTTTTCAGGATTCTTTGATGAATAAAAAGTTAAAAAGAAGAGCATTTATTTAAAATAGAAATCTTTTCTAACAATATACACAAGTATCACAGGCTCCAAAAATATATATATATTAAGCAGCAAAACTGTTTACAGCACTGATATTAAATCAGCATATTAGAATTATTTCTGAAGATCATGTGACACTGAAGACTGGAGGAATGATGCTGAAAATTGCTGTTTTTTCTGTATTTCTGATCAAATAAATGCAGCCTTGATGAGCAGAAGAGACTTCTTTAAAACACATTAAAAATCTTACTAATCCCAAACTTTTAAACGGCAGTGTGTATGTATATATATATATATATATATATATATATAATAAATAATGAACAGTAAAGGTTGAGCAGCTCACTTATCTCTGTTTGTCATCTCACTCAAGCAAGGATGTCTGCCTACCCCAAATCCCACAATCCTTTCGCTGATGATGATGAAGAGGACTCGAAGCCTCGAAGAGGCTTTAACTTTGAGGACGATCCGGAGGAGAGTTCGCTGAGTCCGGCGGAGAGACGGCAGAGACAGCTGCAGCAGGAAGTGATGCGCACAGCGCAGTCGGCCGTGGACAGCAGCCACCGCTCGCTCGGACTCGTCTACGAATCGGAGAAAGTCGGAGCCGAGACGGCGGAGGTGAGAGGAAGCGTTTAGAGGATTCTGTCTCTCTTGGCTGTTTCGTTTGAATGGCTGTGTTGTCCTCCACAGGAACTGATTCGTCAGGGTGAGGCTTTGAAACGGGCAGAGAAGATGATTGACAACATGGAGCAGGACATGAGGACGAGCCAGAGGCACATAAACACCATTAAGAGTGTGTGGGGTGGCATGGTCAACTATTTCAAAGGCAAACCTGAACCTCCCAGACCTGCACAAAAGGAGCAGCCCGTGTCCTACGAGGCCAACAGCAGGTCAGATGAAATACTCAGCCAATGTTAGTCGCTTCTAGACGTTCACATGCACTGAAACATGGTATAATGACACGTTGTTCCTGTAGATTAACACAATTTTTGCTAAAAAGTACAAAATACACTACCAGTCAAAAGTTATTGAGCAGTAAGATTTTTAATGTTTTTTAAAGAATATTTTTCTGCTCACCAAGCCTGCATTTATTTGATCAGCAATACAACAAAAGCTGTAATATTGTGAAATATTTTTACTATTTAAAATAACTGTTTTCTATGTGAATATGTTTTAAACTGTAATTTATTTCTGTGATGCGCAGCTGTATTTTCAGCATCATTCCTCCAGTCTTCAGTGTCACATGATCTTCAGAAATCATTCTAATTTGCTGATATGCTGCTCAAGAAACATTAATTATTATTATTATGTTGAAAACAGCCGAGTATAATTTTTTCAGGTTTCTTTGATGAACAGAAAGTTCAGAAGAACAGCAGTTATCTGAAATAGAAATCTTTTGTAACATCATAAATGTCTTTATCATCTCTTTTGATCAATTTAAAGCATCCTTGCTAAATTAAAGTATTTCTATAATTTCTTCCCCCCCCCAAAAAAAAATATATATACAGTATATACTGACTCTAAGCTTTTGAATGGTAGAGTGTATAATGTTACAAAAGCTTTTTATTTCAGAGAGATGCTGATCTTTGGATCTTTCTATTCATCAAAGAATCCTAAAAAATGTATACTCAACTGTTTTTATTATTAATAATACTAATAAAAAATGTTTCTTGAGCAGCAAATCAGCATATTAGAATGATTTCTGAAGATCATGTGACACTGAAGACTGGAGTAATGATGCTGAAAATACAGCTTTGATCACAGAAATAAATTATATTTTACAATATATTCACATAGAAAGCAGTTATTTTAAATAGTAAAAAAAAATCACAATATTACTGCTTTTGCTGTATTTCTAATCAAATAAATGCAGGCTTGGTGAGCAGAAGAGACTTCTTTAAAAAACATTACAAATCTTACTGTTCAATAACTTTTGACTGGTAGTGTAAGTTTTCATGTTTGCCACTTTTCCTTTTCCTTCACTATCTTTTTCAGCTTATGCATTTATAAAGAGGGTATCGGCAGGTTTAATGAAGGTAAATTTATGACTTTCCAAGTAAAGAAAATGTAAGGAATAAATTGAAGAGAACTCCATGGAATCTCTAAATGTAAATGTCTACGTAATAAATTGTATTTGGAGCACTTAAACATTTAAAAATTCCAACTGATCTACATTACTTTTTAATTAAAATTAATTTTAATAGTTTTAAGAGCTTTGCTCTTAAAGGGTTAGTTCACCCAAAAATAAAAATTAGGCT